GGTTTTACTGATGGTGGAACATACTACGTTTCAACAGAACATTGGTCTGTCTTATTCAGGTACTATTATGTTAGTATAATGTGCTTCCTGACTCAAGTAAAGTTTACACTGAAGAACATAAAACTAAGTGAGATAATTAAGGCTTATACAAATATTAAGTAGGCAAACAACATTTTATAAGTATAAGGAAGAAAGGTTTTACTGATGGTGGAACATACTACGTTTCAACAGAACATTGGTCTGTCTTATTCAGGTACTATTATGTTAGTATAATGTGCTTCCTGACTCAAGTAAAGTTTACACTGAAGAACATAAAACTAAGTGAGATAATTAAGGCTTATACAAATATTAAGTAGGCAAACAACATTTTATAAGTATAAGGAAGAAAGGTTTTACTGATGGTGGAACATACTACGTTTCAACAGAACATTGGTCGGTCTTCTTCAGGTACTATTATGTTAGTATAATGTGCTTCCTGACTCAAGTAAAGTTTACACTGAAGAACATAAAACTAAGTGAGATAATTAAGGCTTATACAAATATTAAGTAGGCAAACAACATTTTATAAGTATAAGGAAGAAAGGTTTTACTGATGGTGGAACATACTACGTTTCAACAGAACATTGGTCTGTCTTCTTCAGGTACTATTATGTTAGTATAATGTGCTTCCTGACTCAAGTAAGGTTTACACTGAAGAACATAAAAATGATTGAGGTTTGCACTCTGAGTTGTGAATGCGTGACAAGGAATCAATTTTGCAAGACTCACTATCAGTGCATAAGACTTAATTATAAAAACAAGCCTGGCAATGAAACTTTAAAAAATAATGCATTATGTTTAACATTGTTCCACTTTGTTTAAGTAATTAATTTACATTTTCAAAGCTTATATTGAGGTAGTTATTTGATTTTCTATTTCATATATGTATTCATAATTTTGATAACAATGAGTGAAATAATTTAAAATATTTAATTTAATCTTTTATATATATATATATACCAAAAATTAACACATGGATTTTCCTGATGAACTCTTTCTTCATCCCCATTACGTTGGTCATCATTGTCTATTTCAGCTTCTTCACCTCCATTTCCTGTTTAAAAGTTGAAGTACGAGAGAAACAGCAAATTATTTATGTGGATGAGTCATTAAACACAATGTCACATTAACAAATTCAAGTAAACAAATGTGTTCTAAGCATTTATTTATTGGGAAATTTTATTTAATGTTTTAAACTCTTTAAATTCATAAAACTGTTTTGAATACATAATAGTTTCTCATTACTTAAACAGGAAAAGTTTCTTCAATAATATTAACAAAAAACTTTCTACAACAGTATGGTTTTGTTAACTGTTAGCTGCATGACAGAATTTATTATTGCATGAAGTGCATATTTTGTGTATCCTGTCATTCTCACTTAGTAAGGTGAATGTTTTATGTTCACCAAGAAGTTTCAGCATGTTACTCACATTCATGTTTCTAGCCATGGGTGTAGTTTTAACAGTAAATGTTGGTCACGTTATGTTACTTTTTTACCAGCTGTTTTCTATATATTACTTGTATTTTGTTAGTTCAGCAGGCTGGATGTGGCTCAATGGTTAGCTTGCTGAGACTGTGAATCTGATGGTTTATGATTCATGGCCAGTTGCTATAAAAATGTACTCTGAAGTTTGTGGTTACCAGTGTATTAATAACAGTGACAGTCAAATCCCATTACACAATCAGACAAGATTAGACTAAAAGTTGCCAGCAGGTGCTACGTGACTAACTGTCTTCCTTCTAGCAGCAAGTTTGTAGACTTGTTATACTACAATTTGGGGTTCAATTCTTGCAGTGGGCACAGCACAGGTAGCTCATTGTGCAACTTTGCACTTAACAAACAAACCTTCCAGTATATTAGTCCACAATTTGAGATGGCTAGGTACATTTAGCTCTTTGTGTAGCTTTGCATGTAATAAAACAAGTTTTATCATAGGTTTAATTTTACCCACCAGATTTATCAAATAAGAAACAAAATATATTCTGAACACTTAAAAACAGATAATTAATATATTTCTTTAAATTACTATAACACTATACCTTATATAAATACACTTACTCTCTACAGCATGTCTTATAACAGAATTGAATATCTCGTCATATTCTTCATCTGTTAAAGATCGGACTGATTTCTTTAACTTCTTGCAAAGGGCCTTCTACGTACAAAAATAGTAAACATTTTCTTGTTACGATTTATCACGTCCAACATCTCTACACGTTTCTCTAAGATAATATGTTTCCTGCAAATATTTCACATTTACTAGATACTTGTTTGCCAGGAAAAAGGCAATTATTTCACAAACTTTGGGTCAAATATTCTTTTACCAAATATTTCTTGAAAGTCTCATTTCCATGCAGTTCTATTTCTATGACCATTTCTTATTAGTGTTTGAATTATAAAATTTACAAAATTTAGTTTTAATAAACTATTCACAAGGTAACAGATTCCCCTAATTCAATGATTTTTTTTCTTCTAATACTTAGTGGCAGAAACTAAATTATTTTATTGCACCTTTAATGTTTGTAGAAAAAAGTAAATAATTCGATTAACATGTAGAGAAATAAGGGTTGATTCTGTATAATGTAATACTACTTTCATAAGAACGTATTCTGATAAATCTAATTCACAGCATAAAAATTATAAAAATGTTGAGCCATTTAAACTAGTATGTAAAAAAATATTAAATTTTTAATTTGTTCATACTTTCTTGTTCTTAAATAACAGAAAAGAAAATATTTATTTTAACATACTATGATTTCCCTAGAAAGTCAAGATTACATTGGTTTAAAAAATATTCTAAAGCATCTTAAAAATTAGAAGCATTAATGATAGTCATTTTTACATTTTTTTTTCATATCGAAAATCATTTTTCCAATTTAAAGCAAAAATGTTTACAAAGGTCACTAACATCTTTAGTTCAGTGTAACTCATGAATTCTTTATATACAGTAATGCATTGAGATGTAATAATCTTTTGTGAAAGGTAGTGTACTTTAATCCTTTCTATAATGTGCTGTTGATTTCAAACAACTATATATCTGTGGTACTGTTCTTTCTCTAATGCGATGTTGATTTCAAACAACTATATATCTGTGGTATTCTCCTTTTTCTAATGTGACGTTGATTTCAAACAACTATATATCTGTGGTATTCTCCTTTCTCTAATCC